CCCCAGGGAAACTGAGTCCCAGTCTCTGCGATCCTGCAGCCATCTCTCTTGCCACCCCTTCAGTCATATTATCTAGAGAATGAAAAGTCCCTCCCCCAACTGAAGCGGACTGGTAGAGGCCAGCAAAGGGTCTCTAAGAGACCTTAGACTTCCTAAGGGGCTAGAGAAGCAGCTGGGGAGATGAGCGGTTTCCCGGACAGCCTCTGACGGAAACGGAACAGCCACGACTGGAGGGAGACCAGGGACATTCCAGGATGACAAAAAAGACTGGAGTGCAAGGGCTTTTAGTGAACCTCACTATCCAGAGGGCAGCTTCCGAAGTATCCAGAGGTCTCATGAATAAGACGTACACACGCCTGTCATCCTAGCACTCTGGGAGGCTGAGGCAGGAGGATTGAAATTTCAACCTCAACATGGGCAACTGAGTGAGACCTTGTCTCAAAAAATTCTAAAAAGAGCTGGGGACGTGGTTTAGTGTGAAGGTTCTGGGTTCCATCCCCACTTAGAACTAACTGTAAAAGAGTCAAGGCTGAGGGCTGCATTTCTAGACTTCAAGGTGCCTCCTCACTCCCTGACCTGCAGAACTCAGGAGAGAGAGAAGATCTGGACCCCTACTACACACTTAGGACGTTGTGCACCAGCTACCTCAGCTGCAGTACACGGTAGGCCCTGACACTCTTCTCACTAAATGACCCCTGGCCTCCGCATCCTCTCCAGAACCCAAAACGAGACTCTTTGCCCCCTTTTGCAGAGGGGCAACTGCCGCTCAAAGTGGGGATCCCTCTTGACCAAGGTCACGGCGTAAAAGATGGGGGTCGGGGTTCGACCCCGCTTCAGGGTTGGGTTTGGGGCTGCTCCTCGATGCCGCCAGGTTTTGGGGAACACGGCGGCCACACCGAGGGGCGCTTCTTTCAAGCCCTAGGGTGGAGACCTAGTTTGCATCGTGCCCATTCCGCAAAAGGGGAAACTGAGGCGCGGGGAGGACAGCTACCCACCCAAGGCCACAGAGCCCGGGGGGATCTGTGGCGGTGGCTGGGAGCCCCGAGACCAACGAACAAGACGCAGGGAAGGTTCTGGCGGCGGAAAGGGGAGGGAGAGGAACCAGGGATAGGCCCGCAAGGTCACAGCTGGGCTCCCGCCCCGTGTGAGGGCGCGAAAGCCAAAGCTGGTCCTCACGAAGGGCCGGACGGGGTCCCACGCGTACGCCGGGACCGAAGGGACCGGCAGCCATTGCTGCGGGGCGTTCGGGGCCAGCGCGGCCCTCACCTGGGCCGAGAAGAGTAGAAACACCGCTCCGAGCCGCGTCAAAGCAGACGCCCCCATTCCTGCCGGTCCCGCCGCAGCCAACAGCGGAGGTTTCCCAGCAACGCCCCGGGGCGCCGCGTCGCGCAAGCGCTGCGCATGCGTACGGGGTCCGGGTCAAAGGGCGCTGCTTGGCGCCTGCGCAGAGAGGCGCCGGCGGCACGATGGCGGTGAGCGCGGGGTGTGACGTGGGGATAGGAGAGCGGAGGGGCTGGGGGGAGGATAGAGGGATGTGGGAGCCTGGGGACTGCTGACCGGGGGCGGGGAGGAGGTAGAGGGACTTGAAGACCGACTTAGGGCTGCAGAGCGGGGACATATCTAGGGGCCAGGGAGCTGCAGACCAGGAAGAAGGGGCACCATAGACCCGGGATGCTGCAGACAAAGGGTACAAGAGGACGTGGGGCCGAGGGGCTGCGGACTATGGGGACAGGGGCGATGTACCAGGGAGAGATAGGGGGCAGCAGACCAAGGAGGTCGTGGGAACCGGGGGACCCGACCCGTGAGACCTGGTGCCGGGGGGAATAGGGAGGGAGCCAGGACTGGGCCACGGTCCCCGTTTCATGTGTTCCGCTTTCCAGCAGGACAAAGAGAAGAAGAAGAAGGAGAGCATCTTGGATCTGTCCAAATATATTGACAAGACGATCCGGGTGAAGTTCCAGGGGGGCCGCGAAGGTGAGGCAACTCTCTCTTAAAGATACAAACAAAATAAGTAAGGGCAGCAGTGAGGGAGAGACTGCAGAGGTGCGGATGTTTGAGATGCTCAACAGGGACCACTCGGTGCCATCCTCCTATCGACCCTGGGAAGTAGGAACTGGTCTGCCTGTATTTCAGGTGGGGAAACTGAGGCAAGGATCGGGACCCAATGAAACTAGAGAGTTGTATTGTCTCTGCAGCTCCTCCTACCAGGGTTTGCCCCCGTTCCTCACTGATTTCTTGCTTCCTTTACGTTGGGTCTCTCCCTTGGTACTGCGGGACTGGGGCCAGGTGGTTCACTGAGCTGGGGTATAGCCTGTGCACTGCAAAGTGCTAAGCAGCATCCCTGGCCGCAGCCCACTCCATGCCAGGAACCACCCCCGGTCATGACAAGGCCATGTCCCCAGACATTTTACAGTGTCCACTGGGACACAGGATCACCCACAGATGGGAACCACTAACTATGTCCAATCTCTACTTAGTGGCCAGAGAAACTTGTTAAAAATGGAATCCTCTTAGCTGGAATGACACCAGCACTCTGGGAGGCTGAGACAAGAGGATGGCAAGTGTGAGCCCAGCCTGAGCAAATTAGCAGTTTAATGAGATGGTGTCTCGGGATTAAAAAGGGCTGGGAGGTAGTTCAGCTGGAGTACAAACAAAGGCCCTGGGTTCAGTCCGCAATACTGCAAGAAAAAAAAAAAATCAGCTTTCTCCTGTTTAAATTGTTCATGGCTCCCTAGTGTTCTGGGGTACAGTCCAAACCTTGTTTACCTTTAAATGGGGTGTTGAGCTCTTGACTATTGCATGTGTGAAGGCTCCTGAGGCTCAGAGGCGCCTGTCACCTTTGACAGTTTCATGCTCCTTGATGTGATGCCTGAGGCCGCGTCTGACTCTCCCGTGGAATCTAATGACAGAGGGTGGCTTTCAAGGCTGGGTGGTCTGGTGGTGAGTGCAGCAGCCTGTAGTGGCCCTGGCTCCAGACCACGTGGGTTAGGACCCGGGACTTCCGCACGCCAGCCGTGGGACTTGAATGTTTAGCCGCCGTTTCTAAACCTCGGGCCCCTCTTCCAGTTCACCAGTTGGCAGAACCCTGTTCCTTGGGGACATTCACTCCTGCCCTGGGGGCCCCTGTACATGACAGTTGGCCGCTGTGCCAGTGTGGGTTGAGCACACATGTTTTTGGTGGTACTGGGGATTGAAGCCAGGCCCTTCCCATTGAGCTAATTCCTAGCCCTTTTTATTTTTATTTTCTTATGTTGAGATAGGGTCTGGCTAAGTTGCTTAGGCCAAGCTCAAATTTGGGATCCTCCCGGCTCAGCCTTAGAGTGGTGGAAAGACGGGACCTGAATTCCAGCTGCAGAGTTTCACAGGATTTAAGCTCGGGAGCCACACCCACACTCAGGCCAGCGTTACCCAGCGTGTTCGCCCCTCCTGCAGACCTGCCTGTGGCCCTGGCCATGCCAAGCCCGAGTGGGTTCCTGCACTTGACACTGTCCATGAGCCCAGGAGACGCAGCACAGAGGGAGCCATGGAGCCAGGTGTGGACAGGCAACAAGTCCACGCCCGGAGGTGAAGGGATGGGCCAGGCGGTGGTGAATGTATTGAGGTCCACGCCCCAGACAGCCTCCATCTCCTCTCCCATTGTAGCCACAGACTGTATAGTCAAGCGTGGCTTGTATGTCGGTTCTCAGCCTAGTCCCTGCCTCGGGGGTGCAGGAGCACAGTGGTGGGCAGGTATGCATCCTGTGGGGCGAGTCCTAAAGAAGGGAGCTGGTAGCCCCCAGATGGTGGGTGGGGGTCCTGAAGGAGGCAGCTGGAGGATGAGAGGAGGTGAGGGAGGGCAACCTGGAAGCATCTGGGGTGCCCAGGGCAGGAAGTCACGTGCAGAGAGGTGGCTGAGCCACATCAAGCTCAGGCTCCTCCCTTCTCAGGCTGTCTCCCGATATGGGAGGTGCGGCACCTGGCCAAGGAGCCGTGATCTAGGGCAGTGAGGCCCCAGGAGCAGAGGAGCTCGGGAGAGAAGGGCACAGCGGCTACATGCAGGGACCTCTGTGTGACCAGTGAGGGGCATTTCTCCAGGAGCCACAGAGGATCCCTCATTCATCAGGAACCCTGCTAGGCCCTGGGTTCCACAGGGCACCAGATAGCGGAGGCCCCAGAGCCCGAGGTAGAAACCAGGTGCGCCTGGCCCTACACACACACAGGAGACAAAACCCACCCAGGGCCTCGTGCACCTGGGCAAGTGTTCTGCTGCTGAGTGGCAGCCCCAGCCCCTGGCTACTTTGTAATTGAGGTGAAATTCATACAACATAAAATTAATCACTTTTAAGTATATTATTCCGCAGCATTGTCAGCTCAGTGGCAGCCACCACTACTGTCCATGTCTAGAACTTTCTTTCTCATCTCTCAAATTGAAACTATTCCCATTAGGTACTAAGTCCTGTCCCCGCCCCAGCAACTTCCTGCCACTTCCAGTCCACTTCCTGCCTCTGGGTTCACCTGTCCTGGGTGTTTCCTGACCACAGTGTCCTCCAGGTCCGTCCACACTGTGACAAGTGTTAGCTTTTTATTCCTTTTCTAATATTGTTTTTAATTGACACGCGATCCTTATCCTGAGTTACCGGGTCTGTGTGATACCTTGACCGTGAGTACAGTGTGTGGTGAGCAGGCTGGGGTCATTAGCGTGTCTGTCACCTCACATCTACAGTTCCCTTGATGGAGACAGTCCAAGTCCGCCAGCTATTCTGAAATATACAATACGTCATTGTCACCCGTCGTCATGCTGCTGAGCCTCAGAGCTTGCAACTGTGACTTTGTAGCCCTCTTCTGTCCCCTCCTTCCCTCCTGCCGGCAGCCAAGCATTCCGGCCTCAGTACACACCGCGGCCTCTTTTGGAATAGCTTGCAAGCTGAAAAAGGTTTTGACCATTTTTCATTCTTTCTTTTCCTTTGTTTTTCTGAAGGGTTTTGCTATATAGTCCAGGCTGGCCTTGAACTCACTATGTATCCCATGGTGGCCCTGAACTCTCGGTGATCTTCCTGCCTCAGTCTCCCAAGTGCTAGTTTTATAGGCATGCACCACCATGCCCAGCTTGGTTTTTACAGTTTTTAAATCATTAAAGAAAGCCTAAAGAAGATCTCGTGTCAGCCCTCACGTGTCAGTGTCTACACATAAAGGTGTTTTTTTTGTTTGGTTGGTTTTTGTTTTTGTTTTTGTTTTGGTACCAGGGATCAAACTCAGGATCTTGCACTTGCAAGGCAGGCACGGTGCCACTGGGCTAAATCCTTGGCCCCATGTAAAGTTTTTTTTCTCCACATAAAGTTTTATTGGCATACAGCCCTCTGCACTGATGTATTCTCCACATCTGCCTCACACCACCAAGGCACAACCCAGTAACGAGACCCCAGGTGTCCTGTGGAGCCCAATACACTGCCCATCAGGCCTCTGCAGAAGACATTTGGTGACCATGTTCAGGCATCCAGCCCTGCAGGGGCCCCCTCGAGTGCCCCTGTCCTGGGGATGGATGCTGATCTCACTCCCCACCTTCGGTTTCTCTCTCTTCCTGGTGCTTTCTCCAAGCCAGTGGAATCCTGAAGGGCTTCGACCCATTGCTCAACCTGGTGCTGGACGGGACCATCGAGTACATGCGAGGTGAGCGGGCCCCCCTTGGTCCTCCAGCCCCTTCCCCTGCCTCCAGAGGGTGTGGGGGTTCCTGTGATCCCACCCTGGTCCTGGGCCACTGGCATAGCCAAAGAGCGCCCCCTCTAGGACTCAGAAGTGCAGCCCTGTCCACCAGAAATCTCCTTGACCTTTCTTTTCACACCTGTACTAGAAATGGAACTCGGGGTCCTTCACACTGAGCTGCATCCCTAGCTCTTTTTATTTATTTACTTATTTTTAAATTGATTTTTTATTTTTGGTTGTTTTGGAGACAGGGTCTCACTGTGTCCTTGAGACTGACCTGGAACCGAGGCTCTGGTCCCCGGGTCTCTGGTTCATGTGGCTGGGACAGGCTGTGCTCTCCCAGGGATTTCAGCGTCTGATTTCACCACAGGTGTGGGACCTGGTGGGGCGTGACGCTTGGTTGCCACCCCAGGGCAGCACCTTGCCCTGTGCTTCCAGCTGGGTCTGTCTGGTTCCCGGGCCGGCCTGGCCCCCTGGACAGCCACCTCTTCCAGCCTAAGGGTCCTTGGGAAAACACAGGAGCTACCTGGGGCCCGCAGTGGTGGCCACTGAGCCCCCTCTTGCAGAGCCGGCACATGTCAGCAGCCACAGCACCCCTGTGCTCTGGTGTCACCCTGGTCACCACTGTGCCTCACGGGGAGGCAAGAGTTTGGGGGATGGCGCTGTGTCCCGAACCACGTCAGGGCTCCAGTGTCACACTGTAGGCCACCTGGTCCTCGCCGCTTCCCAGCTTTTCGTCACAGTGACAGATTTTTAATTGCCTACGACCTCACAAGAGCCCGGCTCCAGCATGCTGTCCCTCATCATGGGATAGTGTCACTGATGATGGGGTGAGCGATGGCCATCAGGGATCCTGGGGATCTCCGAGTCCTAGAGTCCAGGTTCTGTCACGTCCGCCCCCTGCACATGGCTGTGGTCCTGGAGAGCCTGTCTGCTGAGGTTCCCGAGACCTCAGTGAGCTCAGGAGCCGAGGCGCCACTCTGAGCCCTGGTGTGTCCCGCAGACCCCGACGACCAGTACAAGCTGACAGAGGACACGCGGCAGCTGGGCCTGGTGGTGTGCCGTGGCACGTCGGTGGTGCTCATCTGCCCGCAGGACGGCATGGAAGCCATCCCCAACCCCTTCATCCAGCAGCAGGATGCCTAGCCGGCTTCAGGCTCGGGGCACAGCGGCTGCCTTTTTGTATAGGTTGAATTATTGTTTTCTTAATAAAACTGCAAACCCCAAGCATTCCCACCCTGGCTCTTGCTTCCCCAGCCTGCTCCCCAGGGAGAGTGGGTCTCCCCAGGACTCGGTTCAGCCCCACGCACCCCAGGTTTGTTGAGCACCAGCCATAATCAGCTGGAAGCAGGAAAGAGTTTCTGGGGTGGCCCAGGCGGGCCCAGGAGGGGACTTGGCCCAGCTGACCCCGCCCCACATCCCCTGCCCCACGCACCACTGGGCTCTGTCACCTTAAGCCAGCTCCCCGTCACTCCCACACAGCCAGGTTCCTGCCTGGCATGGGCCCCACCGAGATCTTCCCACGGCCCTTCCCGGCTCCTCAGCTCCTCCTGAGGCCAGAGCCCCCCGAGGGAACAGGTGTGTCTGGTCCTCACAGAAGGCTGGCAGGACAGAAGGCTCTCACTTCCGACTGTGCCAGGGGCTTTGGGGTGGTATGAGGGTTGTCCAGGCAGGAGCCTGGTCTTGACCCGGACCTCAGCAGAGGACACAGAAGCAGGCTGGGTGGGAAGGGAGCTCCACCCCAGGGCCTGGGTAAACTGAAACCTAAGGGCTCCAGGCTTATCGAAGGCATCTGGGTCCTGATCCCTCCCCGCCCCTCTGCCATCTGGCCTGGCCCTGCCTCGGCTCCTTATCGGAGGCCTCATGGAGGGGGATTATCCACGGGTGTCACAGCCCCAAGGAAGGGCAGCCTCACCGTGACATTCAACCGAGCAAGCCTCCCACCCCACACCCCTTTCACAGTGGGGAACCAGGGCCAAAGGAGAGGAGCCACACCACAGAGGGACCAAGAACCAGGGCAACAGAGCTGGCCGCCCCTGGAGTCCACACCCTGACCCCTGGCTCCCTGCCCTGGGGTGGCAGCAGCTCGAGCAGCCTGGAGACCCTGCCTCCTGGGGAGAAAGCAGGAACTTTCCATCTTTGGAGCCTGGGGACAACAAACAGTCAAGGGGGACCCCAGCTTTTCCCACAGAGACGCAAGGCTTGTTCCTGTGCCCTTCAAAACAGCCCCCCAGGGCCAGAGATGTAATTCAGTAGAACCACGCCTGCCTGGCACGTGTAAGGTCCTGAGTTCGATTCCTGGTACCAAAAAAAACCAAAAATAGCCTCCAGACTGTGCTGCACCTACTCCATTACCCTCCAGCCGGGCAAGGATGTCAAAAGCCATCCTCTGCACCACGTCCTCAGCTCCCACCTCCTCCCACCAACAGCTGTGAGGTGTAGGGTGAGTGTCCCAGCCTCTCCGGGCCAACTCAGGCTCAGGAGGAGACACAGAATATCCTATTCACAATGGATGACCCTCTGCCTAAGAGCACCAAGCCCTGTGCCCAAGTCCAAAGACAATCCGGATGGCATGAGACCCAGACAGAGGGACTAAGGCCGCACTCCTCAGCAATGGGCCTAAAATGAGCCACGTGTGGTGGCTTATGCCTGTCATCCCACCACGCTGGGAGGCTGAGGCAGGAGGATCACAAGTTTCAGCCCAGCCTAGGCAACCCAGTAACTCGGGAAGATTTCTCTCAAAATAAACAAAAAGGGGAGGCGGGGTAGCACAGTGGTAGAGGATCTGCCCAGCACAAGCGAGGTCCTGGGTTCAAACTCCACTACTGCAAAAAATATTTTTTATGCCACTACATTTGGGGAATGTTTGTTATGTGGGGGCAGAAGATCAAGAAACTTCCTGATAGAAGGCTGTGGCAGATTACCAAGGGGTGGGGCAAGTGTAGCAAAATAAAATGTGCAGTATAATGTCAGTTATTCCATTCACTGAAGACAATGATTTCTGAAGGATTGTATTTTTCTATGCATTTAAATGTGCCAGGGAAAGATCTAGAAGGGTCCAGCCCCACTGGGAGTAAAGATTCTGGTCAAGGGAGTGTTAGCCAGCTCTGAAAGTTTTAATATTTTAAAAGGAGAAATTTAATTTTAATGCTTTACTTTTAATATTACATTGAAAATGTAATATTTTACAAGGAGTCAGCGAAGAGAAAGGAAGGAGAGAGATTTAGACAAGGAGAGGCAGGAGGGGGCAGGAGGGAAAGGAGGGCACTGAGTGACACCGGATCCCCTAGCTCTCCTGCCCTCTGGCCCCACTATAAGTCCCTGCCCACCCTCTCCCCCAGCCTGCGCCTTGCCGACCACAACGACGGGAGGTCGCCCCCTGACCCCAGCCCGGATCCCCCACTTCCAGCTCCCCGCCCGCGGCCCACACCGCCCCCCCCCAC